TACACAGATGGATTTTGCACGAACTTATTCACTCCTTGTGAAATTATACAGGCAATGGCATGCTTCATGGAACAAATAAGAGGGGGAAGAGCAAAATTCAATCCTGATAGAGTTGTTATTACAGCCGGCGCAACCGCGGCTAATGAGCTATTGACTTTCATTCTAGCTGATCCTGGAGATGCCTTGCTTATTCCAACTCCATACTATCCAGGGTAAGAATATACTTACTAATATATCAAAAATGCTACTTGTAAGAACAGTTTACAAGTGTTGAGTTGGCAGGATTTCATCGGTTGGTTTAACTTTGTTTCTGTCCATAATCCAATGAAATCATGCCAGCTGACATTCAGTCTGTAAAAATTGCCTGTACATGTAGCATTTCTCCTATATATCCTTTAATCATGATTATGTAATCTTGACTATAACTTTCCATTCTGAAATAATGTTTAGGGGACTAATTCACTATGATTTCACAGGTTTGATAGAGACTTGAGGTGGAGAACAGGTGTTAAGATAGTTCCAGTTCACTGTGATAGTTCTAATAATTTTGAGATCACTCCTCAAGCTTTAGAAGCAGCATACAATGAAGCTGAATCCATGAACATTAAAGTTAGAGGAGTTCTCATAACAAATCCATCAAATCCACTTGGAGCCACCATTAAAAGATCTACCCTTGAAGAGATTCTTGAATTCGTTACGCGTAAAAACATCCATCTTGTTTCTGATGAAATCTATTCAGGATCGACATTTTCTGGCGACGAATTTGTAAGCGTTGCAGAAGTTCTTGAAGCTCAAGACTACAAAGATTGTGAAAGAGTTCACATTGTTTATAGCCTGTCGAAAGATTTAGGCCTTCCGGGATTTAGGGTTGGAACGATATATTCATATAATGATAAAGTTGTCACAACTGCAAGAAGAATGTCCAGTTTCACCTTGATTTCTTCTCAAACACAACAGCTTTTGGCTTCAATGCTTTCTGACAAGATATTCACAGAAAATTACATAAAGACGAATCGCGAAAGACTCAAGAAAAGGTACCAAATTATCATTGAAGGATTGAGGAATTCCGGGATCGAGTGTTTGAAGGGAAATGCTGGACTATTTTGCTGGATGAATTTAAGTCCATTATTGGAGGAACCAACAAAGGGAAATGAATTAACTTTATGGAAATCAATGCTGCAAGAAGTTAAGTTAAACATATCTCCTGGATCTTCTTGCCATTGTTCTGACCCTGGTTGGTTCCGAGTTTGCTTCGCAAATATGAGTGAGAAGACACTACAAGTTGCACTCACAAGAAT